CGAATCGTCTGAGCTACTGACTTCACGTCAACATGACATGCAAGCGAAGTTAAATGAAACCACGTCAGCGCAACGCGGAAGCAAACGCAGGACAGTAACAATAACAACGGAAAAGCCGACGAGTCAGTAGCACCCGCACGAATTACCAGCGCGCCAGCACAATGGCAGCACACTTACGCAAAGCCAAACGCAAGCGCAAAGGCGTGCGGGCGAACTCAGGTCGCGCACAGCAGTGCAGCTTGCCGCAGTGCAACTCGGGGCCAGGCTTTGCAGGTCGGCTCGAAGCGAAGGAAGTCCTGTGGTTGCTTCCCCCTCTCCCCCTTTACCGTTCTCTGCAGACTAGCGCTCAACAGGGCAGAATGAAGCAACACGCAGCAGAGCAACGACGAGTGAAGCAACACAGGGTAGGACAAATCAGAGCATGTCAAGGCAATGCCCGAGCGAAGCGATGCAAGCAATGGAAGAGGAACTACTGACACTATACCATCGACAGCAACGAGACACCCACCGCAGAATAGCTGGGCCTGTTGCGCCAGGCCGTGTACCAGACAGGCAAGCTGACGCGAAATTACGTAACGCAACACGGGCGCGCCACGCAATAGCAGTTAGCAGTTCACGGTCAATGCAAAGCGGTGACACTGAGCAGCGCCAGGAGAGGAAAGCCAACGTTAGAGGCACACAGGCAGACAGATAGACAGACAGACAGAGATATTGACAGAGACAGACGGAAAGAGAGAGAGAGAGAGAGAGAGAGAGAGAGAACAACAAAAACAAACAAAAGGGGGAGGGAGAGGAAGAGAGGGAGATTGGGGGTCTCTCGAGACCTCAGGAGTACCGGAAGATGGGCCAAATGCGTTCCGAAACCTCGACCCTCAAGCCTCGAGGTGAGCGGATTTGCGATGTGCAAAATTGCACCCCTCGAGCCTCAGCAGTCGCCATGAAGGAAATGGTTGCTGAGGGATGTGGGCCCCAGCTGCCAGCGTTTGCCCCAGAACCAGGGCTTCACCCTAGATGCTTTGCTGACGATCCTGGGGCCGTCGATTGACCCGGGGCCCGAAGACGGCAAACATTTCCACGACCCCTTTCCTCCAGACCCCGCGCCGTTCGTGCGAACTCAAAGAGACAGAGGGAGAGAGAGAGAGAGATAGAGAGAGAGAGAGAGAAAGAGAGATAGAAGGTAGAGAGAGAGAGAGAGGACCATACAAAGAAGAAGCGAACCATACAAAGAACGAGAGACAGACACTAGCCGATCCATTTATATAGTTATATATAGCTCATATACACACATATCGATACATATGAGAAAGAGAGAGAGAGAGAGAGAGTGGAACAACAAAATCTAACTAACGGGATAACGATACATATATATATATATATATGTATATATATGTGTGTGTGTAGCATACAGAGCAACAAAAGCCATTGCCCTGCGTGACGCCCCCTCACCTCTTGCGGGTCTGGGAGTCCTTCTGTTTGCAGTGGAGGCTCCAGGGTAATTTGTACGGTCGGCGCCTTCGCCAGCGGTTTGGCATTCCCGTTGTGCAAGCCACGAGGTGGCGCACCAGACGGCAGGAGGAAGAGAGGGAAGTTCTCACGGCAGCAGGCTCACCACAGCGCCGGCGGGAGCCGGCTGCGCAGAGGGCTCGGCATCCAGCAAGCGGGGATGTAGGGGCTCAGGTTCGAGGCCCCGACGCAGTTTAGGTATCTCTGTCTGCCGACATCGTATTCCCGTTAGCCGCTTTGGCCATCTGCCAATCTTAGGTTTTAGGCCTTTATGCTCCCAGGTTTATGTTTTGGCACCTATGTGGCCCATGTGGTGAAGGCAAAGTTGTTCTAGCTGCGAGGGCGCAGCGCCCTGATGCATCTTTGGTGCCCGCGCGATTCTCCTGTGTGCGCATAGGGGCGCGGGAGCAAGTGCCCATGCGTGCCATGTTACTTTTCGGCGGGTATTGGCCAGTCACTCCCTCCTCCACCTCCTCCTCCTCTCTGCTTCTCCTTCCTCCTGTCTTGTCTGCACGGTTATTCAATCGCTTCGCTCATTTCGCCGGCTCGTATTGGTACACGGCTGTCGAGTGCCCGTGTGATCGTTGTCAATGGGGTGCTGCTGGGTCGTTCTTTTGTTTATGAATGGCTGGCTTTGGGTGATTTCGCAGGCGGGAACAATTCTTTGCCCGCCTGAACCTTCTGTTTCGGAAGGTGGCGGCTCGTGAATACGATCGCAGGGAACAAGACAACATTCTGCAGTTTCCTTTTTGCATCCTTCGGGCCCCTTGTCGCTTGTTGGGGCCTCTTAGGAGCCTCTTGGGGCGTCCAGGAGGCCTCTTGGAGCGGAAGGCTCGGATTTTCGGTTCGTGGTCTCCATCTTGGGCCTCTCTTGGGGCCCTCTTGGGGTCCTTTTGGACCGTCTTGGGCGTCTCTTGGGCTGTCGTGGGGCTCTCTTGGACGGTCTTGGGCCTTTCTTGGAGGCCTCTTGGGCCGTCTTGGGGTGGTCTTGGAAGCTTCTTGGGCCGTCTTGGAGCGTCGGAAAGGCGAGAAGGCGAGGAAGCCAAAAACCTTGAACAACCCGATGGAAATCAATGGTTTTGGCGCTCTGAGGCTTCGTGGACGTTCATTGGTATTTCGTTGGATGCCTCTAGAGGGCTTCTGGGAGACTCTCGGGAGTCGTTGTCGAGCCTCTTGGGGTCTCTTTCGGGCCCCTTGTCGCCTTTTGGGGCCTCTTGGGGGCTTCTTGGAGCCTCCAGGAGGCCTCTTGGAGCGGAAGGCTCGGATTCTCGGTTCGTGGTCTCCATGTTGGGCCCCTCTTTGGGCCCTCTTGGGGTCCTTTTGGACCGTCTTGGGCGCCTCTTGGGCTGTCGTGGGGCCCTCTTGGGCGGTCTTGGGGTTCTCTTGGAGGCCACTTGGGCCGTCTTGGGGTGGTCTTGGAGGCTTCTTGGGCCGTCTTGGAGCGTCGGAAACGCGAAAAGGCGAGGAAGCCAAACACCATGGGATACCGAATAGGAATCAATGATTTTGGCCTCTTGGGGCTCTCTTGCAAAGGGTCGGGGCTCTCTTGGGACGTCTTTGAAGCTTCTTGGGCCGTCTTGAGGCCGTGTTGGGTGTATTGGGCCGATCGTTCGGTGATTCGGAACCTTCTCGGACCGTCTTGGAAGCCTGTTGGGGCCCTCTTGGCGCGCTCCGGGGAGCGTGGAAGGCCGCACCCAGGAGGAAAACCATCTCTGACCTGAGTTTGCCGGGAGTGTCCCGGGACCTTGCCGGGGTACTTTCCAGGCGGGGACCCCCAGGGGCCGCTCCGCGCGCGCGAAGTATAGAGTTATTGCTAACCAGTTACCGAAGATCTTAGCACGCCTCTGGCCCGTTGGGCCGGCGAATTTCGCTGCGTTTCCCAGTGCCGAATTGCATCCCACTTCAAGCTTAGCTGAAGCCAAACTTTAGCCCACATTCGGCCGACTTTTGGCCCACTTCCCTAGCAAATCTTAAACCCACTTTTAGCCCACTTTGAGCCCACTTCTGGCCCACTTCTAGCCCACCTTTAATCCATGTTTAGCCCACTTGTAGCCTATTTTTTGTCCACTTTTAGCCCGCGCGTGCGCGGTCTTTCACTTGCGCGCCACGGAGGCCCGCCGGGAATGCGAAAGCAACGAACGGGCATGCAGCCGTGGTGACGAGACTACACAATCAATAGAAGAACATTAGAAACTCTCGGGCGACCGGACACAAGAAAATGTCGACCGGGCCCATGACTTCGCAGGACGAGGATGCGGCGGAGATTCGCCGGAGCATTTCAGCTAATTTCTAGCTCACTTTCAGCCTTTTTTTAGCCCACTTCTAATTTACTTTAGCCCACTTTTAGCGTACTTTTAGCCCACATTGGGCCCAGATTTCGCCCTGTCGTTGGCCGCGTAGTCGGAGACGTCGCGAGGCGAGCTTGAGAGCCACGAGGACGAGGAAGAGAAGCACGAAGGGCAGGAGGGGGAAGGCGAGGAGGAGGAGAAGGCAGAGGATGAGGAGGGAGTAGGAGGATGCGGAGAAACTGCACGCGACAAGTCGTGGCAATCTAAACGGTCGCAGCCAGGGGCTCGAGTTGCCTGCAAAAGATACCAGTACCCCCGGACTCACGCGGGGCAGTGCGGCGCCTGTCTAGGGGTGAGGGTGGCAGTACAACGAAGAGGTGGCCACTTCGAGAATACGCCCCGGATGGCTGGCGACACCTTTCTTCGCCTCAGGGGTGGCGGGTTTGGGCAGGGCGCCACGGCGCCTCCGCCGGAAACACCAAATCATCGTCAAGCGATTTCTTGCCTCCAACCTGAGCCTATACAAACGGGGTGCATCGCCCCTCCTCGTATCAAGAGGTCTCGTATCAGGAGGGAAGGAACACACAGACACAAGGACTCGTCGATTCCCTGAGAAATGCGGAAAACATTGGAAGTGAAAGGGACACCGAACATCCAGCAAATATGGGGGATCCTCGGATTTGTGTCCAAATAGTTCTTTGTGTGTCCCTGGGCGGCTTCACCTTAGCCCCCCATCCCACCCCCTGGCCCCTCCCCGAGACAATCGGGGCGGCCAAGTCGTCGCCACTCCCGGCCCCCTGGAAGCCTGCTCAGGGACCTCAGGGCCGTCAGCGAGCGGCTCGGCATGAGATGCCGGCCTCGGGGAAGGCGTCGAGAGGCCCGGGGCCCTGCGCATCGAAAAGACCGAAGCGTTGGACGTCTGGGTCCACGCCCTCTCTCGGCCCTCCTCCTCCTCCTCCTCCCGTCCGTCCCTCCGCCTCCCCTCTGCGTCCTCGTCCCTCCTCTTCGCCTCCTCTTCGTCCCTCATCCTCTCCTCGTTCCTCCTGTATCCTCCCTCCTCCTCGTCCCTTCTCCTCTTCTCTCTCGTCCATCTGCCTCCCCTCTCGTCCCTCAGCCTCAGCCTTTCCATTGGCCCCTCGCACGGCAGAGCCCCTGAGAAAGCATGAGCAATCATTATACATGCAGCCCCTCGCGCGGGCCGCCCCGCAGGTGGCCGCCGGTCTGACGGGGGACTGGGGCGCGATGTGTTTCCCATTGGTCATATCGTCCAGCGGCATCGTCACGGGTTGGCTCTCGCTCGGCATCGTGCGATTGGCGATGCCGATCACCGAAGCCTGCCACGTCGAGCGGGCGCTGAAGGCGACCCACAGAGTCAGGTTTCCGAACGTGTCGCGGCCGCGTTTTGCCTGGCCAGGGCGACCACAAGAATGGTCCAGTGTCCTTCCTTAGTCGGAGCGCGTCATACTGCGTCGGCCACGCGTCGCACAGCTCCGCGGCCAGGATTTGTCGGCCCAGACCGGCCCGGATGGGATTGTGGGCCAGACGCCCAGTGACGTTTTTGCAAGTGGTCCATGCCCCGATGTCGTGCAACCTTTTGAACCACGACCTCTCGTGTGAAGCGGGCTGACGGATGCATAGTAGCTACACCCAGCTGTGATAGGGTAACTGCTTCTGGGGGGCGGCCCGGGCTGCTTCTCGAGGTCCCGGCGGGTCGCGCCAATGGAACCATTTTCTTATCTCCCCAAGGGGTAACACGTGTTACTTGTACCCCCCCTGCCCCCCACCCCCGTAACAGTAACGCCCCAGCCCGGTCCAATGCGAGATCCCAGGCAGCCTAGGGCCTGTGGTGCATGCGGGGACTATTGGTGCAGCGGTGCATGCGGACGTGCATTTTGGCGTACGCAGGCACTGCAGTGTGCACTGGCGCACACAACTGTCTTTGCAGCAGCAGCTGTGGTGTACATAGGCATGGTCAGTGTACGCAAGCACTGTGGTGTACGCATCACAAGCCTTGTGGTGTACACAGCCGCCGTGGTAAGCACAACCGCTGTAGTGCGCAAGGTCGCTATGATGTAAGTGTGCATTGTAGGCAATGATGTACCCACGGATCTCTTCCTACGTTTTCCCCCTCTTCCCTCCTCACTTCCGTCCTGCTCGTCGTCCTCCCTGCGCATACAGGAAGCTGGCTTCGTGGTGTACACAAACATTGTGGTGCACACAGGCCTTGTGGTGCACACAGCCTTTTTGTGTTCACATTCGTTGTGGGCTCAAAATGTCTAAGCGTTCCTCGGGCCAATCAGAATTCATATTGAATATGTTACATTCTGGCCCCCAGCGAGTCCCTGGACTTTGTCTCGTGCACATGCTGCTAGATGATGGTGTGCATCTTGGCCGCTCTCTTTGAAAAAGCCGCGCGCCCGGCAGCGTGGTGCGCGCAGTTGCCATGACGTGCACATACGCTATGGCGTACACAGGCGCTGTGGGCCCAGAATTCCGTTTGGGCCAGAAAAACAAATAATCACCATTAACAAGTCACATATTGAATTTGATACGGTCGGGCCCCCGCCGATTTTCTGGAGTTTGGCTCCGTCGGTACGTTCAGGTCTACACAAGCTTTGTCGGGTACGCAGGCAGTGCGGAGCACAGGGGGTGCTGAAACACAAGCTGTGGTGCACACAGGCGCCGTGGTGTGCACAATCAGTGTGATGTACAAAAGCACTGTGGTGCACACGGTTGCTATGGTGTATACAGTCGCCGTGGTGCACACACAGACCATGTTTGCAGCTATTCCGGTGCACAAAGGCATTGTGGTGTACAGAGCCCGAGTGGTGTGCACAGGCGTTGTGGACTTGGACGACGACGACGCGGCCAACGACGACGACGACGACGACGACGACGACGACGACGACGACGACGACGACGACGACGACGTAGGTGGTGCGCCTGGGGGGGTGCGCGCCGGGGCCCCCGTCACCGTTACCCCCCCCTGGGCCCCTCCCCCTTCCCCCTCTCAAGGTAACACGTGTTATCCCCCAGGACTAAAGCATATCCCATGGGCAAGATGACGAACGTGCGGCAGCAGCCGCCCCCTCGAGGCTCGCCAGCCAAGGGCACGCCTTCGTGTGCGCATTGTGTCTTGCCTTTCCCAACCATTGTAAGGTGCTGGATCTGTTTTTGAATCAGCAGCGCCCTGCGTCACTCCGTCCTCCTCTTCACTCCCTCCCTCCTCCCATCCCTGCCTCTGCCCTCCGTGTGCACATTCCGGCACACCCCTCGCGCGCTTCATTGTCCCATTGGGAGCTCCACCGAAGCCCCCGGGTGGCCAGGCCACAAGGAGTCCTCAGCCCGAGTCCGCATAGCCTACACACGCTTGGTGTCCCCATAGGGTGCTCCGCCGTGCGCCCCAGTGGGGGTGTCCACATGCGGTCCCCCGGCCCAGTCCGGTACCCTCCTCACACGTGGCGCGGCCCTGCAGGGTATTCCACTGAAGCCCTCGGCCACAGGGTGTCGCATGCAGGGTGCTCCACGTAAGCCCTCGCCTATTTTGGCACACCCCTCACGCGTTTCGCAGCCCCGCAAAGAGAGCGGATCCAATTTTGCGGCGCATTGCACGAGAGGGTCATACGCTGCGCTACTCGCAGGTGCTTTGGGTTGGGTTCTTCGCCGTGGTAATCATCTCGTTTGCGCGCGCCCCACCTTACTTTATGCACCACCGATCGGAGTCATCGGCGCGTCGCAAGAACAAACATCGTATGATATATGCTTCGTGTCCCGTTGGTGCGCATCAGCCCAGGGCCCATTTCGCTCCGACTCGATATAGGTTATGGATGGGTCGATCCGATTCGATTTCGATAATTCGGCGATCTGGTGCGGCCCAATGCTTGCATGGCGCAGTTAAGCATTCTGGCGCAGTCTATTCGATTTGACTTCGACTCCGTGTCAATGCGAATCGGTCCAGACCCGTTCGGATTAGACCCATCTTCCCGATTCGATGTTGATTGATCTTGCTCTCAGCATGAGGGATCGACATGTGTCGCCGCGCACGGTGGCAAGCATTGGTCTGCGCGCGCCAGCCTGGGAGGTCCGCCGACGGGGATCGATCCGATCGAAGTGGATGGTACGGAGAGAGTGATGACCAAGACCGTCACAGCACCATTGACGGGGACTCCACTGACGGGCATTTTGGCCAGCACCCCGGCGAACCGAACACTCCCCGATGCGGGCAACGTTGCAATGCCCGAGAGGGGTTTCGCAGTGCCGATCTTCTGCGGGCATCCGAAGAACCCGCTAGTGAGTACCAGTGGCATACGGTGCCGCTGAGGCAAATATCAGTTCTTGTCCATTTTGCGCCAGGGCCGTTGTCTGTGCTGCCGCGGACGCTGCAACGTGAGACTCAAAGTTGCCTGCCCATCAGCGCCCGCTGTAGGTTTGGGACAGCACCTGCTGTTGGGCATCCAGCGATTTGTTCCATACCCATTTTCTGCGTGCCGATCGTCAGAAGAGCAAGAGGTGCCGATACGGCTACCCTTGCCCCATATCCCCTTCTTTGAGCCTCCTTGGAAGCCCTCGTCGCCACAGCTGGATTCTTTTTGAAATCCTAGTCAGAACGCACCCTGGGAGAGGTCTATGGAGTAGCTGTAAACAAAATCCTCTCTGTTTTCCCTGAGCGGGAAGCGGACGCTCAGACAGCGGCGAGGAAAGCTCTCCGTGGCCCCTGCTCCTTCCCATTTGGTGGGGGCGGGCCGTCGCATTTCGTGATCTTGCTTCGTGCTTATTCTTATTATTCTTCTTTGTCTTCTTCTTCTTCCTGCCGACGTGGCGCCTGACCTCCTCGCGTCTTGAAAAACGTCTATCGCGAAAGGTGTCGGCCATCTTTGCAACGTTTGAGGGCAGTTGCCAGGCCCCGGTCCAGGGAAGGGGTCGATGTCTCCAGGGGCCACGCTGCGCAAAAATCACGACGACGGGGGTTCGGATGCCCATTTCTCCGAAGAGGGTCCCCGAGGCGATACTGCTCGTCGCTGCAATCCTGGAGACGCCGGTGATTCTCGGGCTCGCGAAGCTGCTGCTGCCGCCCACCTTCGCGCTGTCGGCGGACGTGCGGGAGGTGAAGTGGTGGATAGCCACGCTGCCCGTCCTGATCGGTCTCTGGGGAGGCCCCCCGGAGGTTTCAACATCCCCATTACCCCTTGCAGCGTAGCACGTGCGACGCCAGGGGGGCGACCCGTCCACCCACCTCCCAACCATTGGGGGGGGGGGTGCGAGGTCCCTGCGGACTGGACGGGGTCGATACCGAAAGGCACCATGCCTTTCAACAATCATATGTGGGGACCAGAAGCCTGGCGCCACAAACTCGAGGTACACCATATGCCCTCCACCGCTGTTTCTTGATACTTCAGCCTCATGGATGTTGTTCCCCTTGGTGCTTCGACCACTGTCTATGCCTGCGACGCCTTGTAACAAATCGTGAAGACGGAGTTGTCAAGTCATGCTCGGCGTCTGGGAGTCGGATGTCGGGTTCTGGGGCCGTTCAAGAAAAAGCGACTCCGTCTCTTCGGCGTCGTGTTTGTGCTCGCCACAAGAGCTGTACTGTACGGATGTCTTTACCGCTTCTCCAGGATATGTTTTCCACCCTGAGTCATTATGTTGACGGCCATTGGGCGTGTAAGGGCCTCACGAGGCAGAGAAACATGTCTAATCATTGTCCGTCGCGATTTGAATCACGACGCGATGGGATGGTGGACACAGTGTCAAAACTCGACCCCTGTAACTGTCATACGGTTCGTCCTGGCAGCACTTCGAAGTTTTGGCTGTTATAAGGTTGTCCGGCTTACTTTCTTCAGTGACCCTCGAGCTGCACGAACATCACATTCGTTTCTATTCGCACGTATGGGAACTTCCAGCCGGTGTTCGTTAGAACTGTCCGTGCGTTTGGCTTGAAAGTGTCAAATGCGATGTACTTGGATTCAGATTCAAGGCGGACGTCTTGCTGTTCCAGAATATCGCGAGAGTGAATCGAGATTTCTGTATGGGTGGCGAAGAATGGACCAACTGCCGTCGCACCTGCTGCCCATATGTCATCGGAGATATGGGAGGAGGAGGAGGAGGTGGGGGATATCTACACATTGCTCATGTCTACGTATTCGAAAGTTATGATTTTCTGGGGGGCCAAGATCCTTTCATTTCTAGCTGTTCTATCCTGGGCCTCTTCCTGGCAACTAGGGGGCCAGGAACAATTATAATCGAGCACAAGTAGAAACGAGCACGATTAGAAATGAACGACGTGCATGGTTTGGGGCGCTTTGGGACTTGGAGGCCTCTGGGGACCTCCGAAGGCCTCCAGAGATCTCGGGGGACCCGAGGCCTCACGGGGCAGGCATCGTCATTAGCGGTCCCTGGAGCCAGCCCTATCTAGCGGTGGCGACGAGAGCCTCCACAGATGCCCCAAGCACCCCGAATCGAAGGCGTCGCTGTCGTCGAGGCCTCGTTGTGAGCGTCGTGGCGACGGAGGACTTCACGCTTCAGGCCTCTGGGGACCTTCAGGGGCCTCTGGGCACGCCTGGGGACCTCCGTAGACCTAATGGCTCGGAGGACGTCGTCGCCGTTGTCGTCAAGGCCTCGTGATCGGCGTCGTGACGGAGTATTTCACGTCTCACAGCTACGCGCCCGTGCGGGAGATCGCCGAGAGCCAGAAGACGAGCGCGGCGACGGGCATCATCTTCGGCCTGGCCCTCGGGTACATGAGCTGCGTGATCCCCACCCTCGTGCTCGCAGGCTTGGAGCCGGCCAAGGGTTTTTGTTTCTTTCTTGCGCAGCTGTGCTCTGGGCCCGGGAGCCCTTTAGTGTCGTGTTGGCAGTCCTTCGTCCCCCCCTCCCCTGGCCCATCCGTGACACTCGCCTCAGCATTCTCGCCCCCTATGGCCTATGAGCCCTTTATTGTCGTGGTGGCAGTCGTTCGTCCCCCCCCCCTCCCCTGGCCCACCCTGTTCTCTCCTCAGCCCTCTCGCTCCCTTTGGCCTCGGAGCCCTTTATCTTCGTGGTAGTCGCCGCCTAGAGTCAAGATCCACAGTAAGGATGGAGTGCGTTTGCAAGGGCACCGTTGTATCCCTGTCTCTTCAAAACGTTCTCGTTATCATGTCGACTGTGCTCTAAGCCACCCTGGATGGGCATCGCATTCCGATTTGCTGTGGCCACGGTCCTCCCATATTGGCCGATGTTTCTGGCGCCCTCTTAGACGACACCACGAGCGTAAAGCTTCGGAGGCCCACGTGGATGTCGCTGGTCGGGGCTGGACCTCCTCGGCTCCTCGTCATCACTAACATCATCCACGTATGGTCGAAATCCATCGCACGGGTGCGCTGTTTCGTCGAGGCTACCCATCCCTGCTCCTATAGCCCATCCTGAGCCCATGCTGACGTCCAAGGAGCTCTAAATGGCAACTGAGACTTCCAAAGGGTCTTGCGTCCTCACCTTGCGACCTCACTATGGATCCGACTGCACCGCGGCCACCAGCAGCGAGCCACCTCTGGCAGGGAGGGCCGCGATGCCGCCCCGAGCCACTTGAAGACGGTTCGAGCGGGACGCCACGGAGCGGGCGGGCCGCACGGGCCACGCGCACCGGCGCTCGCTGCCGCGCGGGCTCCCGGCTGTCGGTGCAGCCTCGCGAGAGGCGAGGGAGGGAGAGCGACCAGAGGCCCAAAGACGGCGGACGGGGGGGCCCCAGGCAGTGCCAGGGGCGCGAAGACCATCGCGCTTCGCGCATCGCGGCTCAGGTTGGAGAGGCGCTCTTCTCCTCCAGGGCGGCGACGCGAGGGCGCGAGGATAACCGCGCGTCGCGCATCGCGGGGCGCGGGGCGCGAAGTCTGGTGACCTGCGGGGCGGGAGGAGGGGGGCAGGCCCGAGAGGCGGAAGGGACAGATGGCAGGCAGCAAGCCAGGGAAGGGTGGCAGAGGAAGAGGAGGAGAACCATGTGACGCATCATCGCCTTGTGCGATGATTGACAAATAGGGTCCTGGGCCTGTTCGCGGGCGTCGTCGACATTGAGATTCTTTGACCGTCCTCTCCAGAATTTCCACCCCTGCGGCAGAAAGTTGTTTGTTCAACTGTCACCCCGCGTTCTTGTCTTGACCGTCATCCTGCATCACTGGAGCCCCTGAGGCAGCGCTGGAAGCAACATCTTGTTGCTTTAGTCGTCATCCTGCATCGCTGGGGCCTCCGAGATTGAGTGCTCAATGCTGGCTGCCTTCGGTCTCGGTCCTGGCCGCGGCTGCGGCTCCAGCCTCGGTCCCGGTTCGGGCCCCGCCTCTGGCCTCGGCCCTTGCCCCGGGTCCCGGCGGCGGCTTCGATCACTCCTTTTTTCGGCCAAGCGCAAAAGGAGGCAGATGGAGGGGGGGGGAGGCTTCTTCGAAGCACCCCTGCCTCTTGGACGCAGCGGGCCTCGTTTGCAGATGTCAGGCGCGCGCCTTCTGAGAAGCAGCCTCCTTCTCGGAAGCCTTCCCCCCCTCCCCCTGCCCCCTTGTTCGGAAATTGGAACGTATGCACGGTTTTTTTTCAATCCCAGGATTTTTTGAGGGTCGGGGACGCCGTCGGAGTGGTGTGGTAAACACTCGTTTCCCCGCTTTCCAGGCGAAACAACGCAACATGTATACACCAGGATCCCGCATACACCAGGATCCGCTTTCCTGTGCAACCGTCAATGCGGGGCAAGACAAGGCGTCGGTGTATAGAGTTTGCATCCCCCCCCCCCCCCTCGTGCGCGCCGCCAGCGCTCGCAGGGACCATCGTGTCGTCCTACATCCTGTGCGGCATGTACGGGGTGGCGCTCGCGGCCCTGGGGATGCTCTCCACGCTCACCATGGGCGGGGGCGCGGGCGGGGCCCACAGGGAGCAGTGGGGAGGAGGGGGAGAAAGAGGAGGCGGAGGATCAGTGAGGAGGATCAGTGAGGACGAGGAGGAGGAGGAGGAGGATCAGTGAGAAGGAGGAGGATTAGCGAGGAGGAGGAGGAGGAGGGGGACGACGACCTGGCGCTGTCAGCGCCTCCGCAGCCAGCGCAAGAAAGGGAGGACGAGGGTTGGAAGAGGAAGCTTGGATGCTGAGGAGGAGGAGGAGAGGTTCGAAGAACAAATAGGCTTCAGCATTCAAGCTTTCGGAGCTCCGAACAGGTTTCTCGGATCGGCGCTTGGCTTCCCAGGTGGCGCCCCCGGCGCCGCCCCTTGCGCGCTCCGTGCGCCATGGAGGTGGATCCAGCGCTGACCCAAGGAATCCACGCGGAGCTCTGGAAGTTTCTGTTTACGCGGTTTGGATTCTTCTTCAGTCGGAGTGGAAAAGGAGGAATGGAGGAGAGCAGTAGGAGCAACAGCAAGAAGGTGAGGTGGTTCACGCTTCGCCTGCACCTTTCCCATCTGGGGGCATGCTCCAACGAGCATTCTCACTCATTGCGTGTGTTATTTCATCTTCCGTAACTGAGCACGTGGCTCCTCTGTGCACGGGCATGGAACTCGGGGAATGTGTGTTTCCACTCCTTCCCTTCTGCTGGTCACTGTTGGACTGCGCGAGCTCGCATACAGCAGGTCAGCTCTCGCGGCGCTTCCAGCTTGCATGGATCGTTCCTTTTCACACTGGGTTGTGATTTGGTGGTTGTGTTATTCCTCCTCTTCAGAATCAAACCTTCGCGGCCCGAGTCCAAGGTATCAGTCTTGCTGAAAGCGTAGCCACGAGATCCAGTTCAACGCAAAGCATTGCAATGACCATCATGGCGTTGCACTGCATAGCACATCGCCGCCTAATTCGGACACCATGGCGCAGTAGCATTGTGCAGCAGACCTGTGCATACCACTGCATGGCCCCATATGTCAGATAATGTAGTGCCATACGGAAAACCAAACATATTCCGACGGTAGGACCCCACATGACAATCCATTTAATTTGCGCATGGGTGTACCCCATTCGCCTTGGCGGAGGCTCCTTCCCGCTCTCTGCTGCGCCTCCACATTCTCGTCATCTTCGTCGTCCGTCTCCTCCTCCTTCTCGTCCTCCCCTCCTCCTTCTCCTCCTCATCATCCTCATCCTCCTACTCCTTTCCTCCTCCTCGTTCTCCTCCCCCGTTTCCTCCTCCTCCTTCTTTTCCTCCTCCCCCACCTCGCCAGTGAATCCATTATCCCTCGCTTATCCTCCCCCTGCCTGTTCTCCCCATGTACCTCCCTTGGCTCCTGGCCAGGGCAAGTCGATTTTCTTCGGCGCCGATGCGGCCACGGGCGGCATGGGCGCGTTTTCCGATGGCCGGATCGCGAAACCGTTGGGGCAGGCCCGCGGGCGAGGCCGTTGAGACAACCCCGCGACACGCTGGGTCGCGGGAGCCGGCCGTTGGGACAACCCCGCAGGTCTCGAGCTAGTCGCGGCCGAGCTCAGGCGGGAGGCACTTTGAATTCCATCTCTCTCTCTGCCGCGAGCTGCTCCGCCGCATCCCTGGAGTTCACCGTTCTCTTGTCGAACGCATGGGCCCTGCGACATCGCGGAAATCAGGTGGGACGCGTGCGTCAGGGTGAACCCCGAGCGGCGAATGACGTGCGACCCCGAGCTCTGCCGCGTGAGTTCCTGCTCGCTGGGCTTCAACATGAGCAAGCTTCTCGCCCGCGCCTCGGCCTCGCCGTCGTCGTGAGCGTTTTCGGCGCCCTTCAGTAGCAGCTCCGCGACCACCTGGTAGTTCTGGGACTCTTTGAAACCGTGAACTTGCATCTTGATTCCTTGTGGTTGGTAGCGGGGGCGAAAGAGCTGGCCCGGCGCTCGCTCTTCGTAGTCCCGCTCGTCGTCTGGGTGAAACTCGAAGGACACGATGGTGGCCCGTTGCTCCCGCACGAACCCCAGCGCGTTCTTTTGCACGGCCGTGAACTGAACCTCCATGCCGACGTTCGCCTTTCAAGCGCCATGGATGTCCCCCGTCTTGTGCATGTTCCAGACGTCCAGGAGGGGCCAGCCCGCGTCTGGATCGCCTTGAATCGCGTTGCGCTCGCTTGCGGCCTGCAGGAAAACGAGGGGCCCGCCGAGACGCCGCGCGTCGCGACGAGCGCGCGATTTGATCCACATCGCCAGCGTTCCCCAGTAAATGCCCATGTCGTAGCCGAGCCGGAAGTTCACCTGCTGGTGCCGAAAGTCCAGGACTCCGCGGCTGTCCGAGGCCAGCGTCTTCTCCCAGGCGGGCCAGACCTCTGTTGGGAAGGGCTTGCCTTCGCGCGTGCAGCTCGAAATCGCGATCAGGGGGTCCCCGGTTTCCGTCGTCCTCGTCAATACGTGTTCCTCCCATTCTTCGTTTTCTGATGGGTCGAGCGAGTGGCTTTGTAAAGAGCCCAAAAGTGATCCCGTTCGGAGTGGCCCGCGAAGACTCACATCACCCTTCGTTATGGAAGCCTCGGTAACGACAGTTGCCCTTTTTCAAAAAAAAAAAAAACCTTTTGTCTGGACCATAATCAAGCCTGAGGAGCCCCATAATGACGATCGTGACAAGTTTGCCTGCGACCAGTTCGGCATACAACATTTGGATTGCCACAATGAAGTGCGTTCCACATATGGAGGGCCCGTGAAGGCAAGTGGCAGGCCAGCTGAGAGTCGAACTCCCGATACATGGGTGAATTCTTCAGAGCGCGAGCTGGAGACGCCCCCGCGATCCACTCCCGGACGAAGCTCCCGCTCGGCACTTGTTCCATATTCGGATTTCGGGAGCTCCGAAGTGACAACCTTTAAGGGACATGGATGACGAACGTGAGCTGCAGGCCCCATAGGGAGGGGCCTCCGCCTGAGACATCCTCGCAGTTCACTCACAGACGAGGCTCCCGGTCGACACGGCCCCATGTTCGGGTTTGGGCAGCCCAGAAGTGACGAAAATTATGTGTTTTTGGATAGCCCGCTCGGCTTAGTAACCTGAGTTGGGGGCACCATAGGAAGGGCCCCCCACGTTTCAGGTTTCTTCGCAATTCAATCACGGACGAGGCTCCCGCTTGATACTTCCTCCGTGTCCAGGCCTGGGGAGCCCACAAGTGACGACGGTCACATGTTTTGGGGGGACCCGTTCGGAAGATTTACAAGGGCTGCGGGTACCATGCGGAGGGCCCCCCCGCCTGAGATTTCCTCGCAATGCGCTCACAGACGAGGCTCCCGCGTGATACTTCCTCCGCATCCAGGCCTGGGAAACCCAAAAATGATGACAGTCACAAATTGTTTGATGACCCGTTCGGATTACTAACATGACCTGCGGGCCCCATGGGGCAGGGGGGGGCGCCTTTTTGATTTCCCCGCGTTTTCCCCAAAGACGAGGCTCCCGTTCGAGACGTCCTCAGAATCATTGCGTGAGAGAGACAGAGAGTGGATGGAGGAATCGGTGTAAGGTTGCTGCTGATGGTGTTGGTGATGTTGATCGTGATGGTGAGTGTGGCGGTCACGATGACGAACTATGGTTTTAAAAATGATAGGACGATGATCGTGATTGCGATGATGACGATGGTGGTGTGGTAGTGATGATGATGATGATGATGATGATGATGATGATGATGATGATGATGATGATGATGATAATGAGTCGTGACTGATAGTGATGAATTTCTGGGCCAAAGATTTCTGAGTTAGCCATCGAGTGCAGACGATGATGCCTATGCTGATGCGGATGATGATGATGATGATGATGATGATGATGATGATGATGATGAGGATGATGGTCACGATCACGCTGATATGGTGACCGTAATTATGTTGACGATGGTGGTGTGATGGTGGTAGTGATGATGATGATGATAATGATGATGATGATGATGATGATGATGATGATGATGATGATGATGATGATGATGATGATGATGGTGATGGGAATCGTGATGAGTGTGATCTGTGATGATGAAGGGAGGGTCTGGGTGAGAGGAATGCGCGTGGTATCCAGACCAAACAAGAACCCCACTTACGATGTGGCGAAAACATTACATGCCACGCCGTGGCAGATCATAGCACATCGGAGGCTCGAGAGTGACAACGAAGTGTCCACAATCGGATAAAATCGGTTCCGGCTTCGATTCGTGTCGAACGGGCGGGGCGAGGCGAAGTTGTGCGAGGGCACGGGCAACAGTGTGTCGGCGCAGCTGGGGCCAAGTCGGACAAAATGGCTTCTCCGCGCCTCGACCCCGCGGTTGCGCACGGGCTTGTCCCGTGGGTTGTTCCGTGAGTGCTTACGTGGGTTGTCCCGACGGTTGTCCCGCGGTTGTCCCGTGAATTTGCGCGTAGGCCTCCCGGCGGAATGTCCCCATGAGTTTTCCCGTGGTGTATCCCGCGGTCCGTGGTTGCCCCATGGGGTGTGTCAGGGATGTTGAGTGGTTATTTCGTAGTTGCCTCGTGGGAGAAGGGATCAAGCAATGTTGTATTATATTGAATTCGTGTTGTCATGTATGCTCATATACACATGAAGATATGTATGATATGTTGTATAGACATGTGTTTGCATGTATCGATGTATGTATATGTGTAGAATCGCCGACGGGTCAAATCGTCGACAGGGGATACTACACACAAAATGTGTATACTTATGTATGTTTGAACTGAACTCTATACACATACGCATACCTATGCGTGTTATATGGATGTGTGTGTGTGCATATAAACATGTGTATATATTCCTATGTGTACGCAGTACAAGCAGAACATAGTCGGCACATATATACACACACGTCATGCATATGCACATTCCCCAGACAGTGCTCGCATTCAGTTGTGCTACTTTGACGATTGGACGGGTCGGACGAGGGTCATGCACGTTGCCGTCCCGTGTCGCCTCGTGGTTGCTCGCGGGCGCCACGTGCACTGGACGGATCGGCCGGCGCCGCG